ATCAAGAACAGGAAAATGTGCTGTCGCTGTACCTCTCTCTGGTCTTTTTGCTTGTCTCTCCACTTGTGTTTCAGGAGAAAAAGCAGCAGGAATGGTTGTGGGAATCGTCACTGCCTTGGCTTCTGTTTCTTTAAAGAACAGTTTTTTTTTTAACGCAAGATGTTAATATTTAAGAGAAGAAAGAAAAGGATGAAAAATATAAATAAACATAAAGGGATAAAAAAAAGAACGCATTTGAAAAGATACAAAAAGAATGTCATATAAGATTGTAATATGAAGACGCTGAGGAACACAATGAACATGAAAGTGTGGTATGAAGAGATGTTTACAAATGAGGCGAAACTGAGGTTGATTGTGGTCTGAGGCTAAAATGATGAGTGGTGGCCGCCCAAGACTTTAAGAACAAAGATTGCACCCAAACATGGAGTCATATGAAAAAGTTAACGATGGAAATGATCATGATGTTAAGTTTTCTCTATGTACCTCTGGAAGCTGTTTGTGGGGAAATCCTCGTCTTCTCCTCTGGTTTAAATGGGATTGAAGGTTTTGTCTGAACCACATCCTCGATCAAAACTTCTTTTTTCTTTTCAGTATCACCTCTCTGAGGAGGGACGTCTTTGGATTCCTCTTTTTTCTTGTATGGTGTTTCAGCTGGAACTGACTCAACCTCAGTCTCCTGTTCGATCACTTTTGGCTTCTTAAGCTCGATATCTGTTACTGACTCTTTTGGTTTTACTTTGGGGGTCACCTCTACTTTAGGTTTTTCAACAACTTTCTCCTTCTTTGTATCGATTATATCATCAGATGTTACCTTCCTCTCTTGTTTCTTTACTAAAACTTTTTCTGGTGGAGTGTCATCTTTTTTGGAGTCCATAATGACTGGTGGTTTCATTCGAGTTTCCTCCTTTCTACTTGTTTCCCCTTCCACCATTTTCGTTTTAGTGGGGATAGCTTTTGTTGGTTTGTCTTCAACTGTGACTTCTCTCTGTTTGATTGTAATTTCTGTAATTTCCTCAGTTCTACTTATTTTTTTATCTGGAACAGATGATCTTATCTCAACGTCATGATCTACCGATTCCTCCAAGGTGACCTCTGTAAAAATGTTTCTTTCAATTTCTAGCTTTTCTGATTGTTTCCTTGCTTCTGCACTGATAATAACAGGAACATGTTTGGTTTTATCTGCATCTGTCACCAAAGGGATATCTTTTACTAACTCTATGTCTTTGACTGTTGTAGTTTCCTTAGTTTTTCTGACTTCCTGTTCTCTTAGTTGCCTCATTTTGCTCTCTGTTTGAATGGTTATCTCCCTTCCTTTTTTGACAGTTACACTAGTTTCTTGTTTAGAATCTCCCTTCTTGTCTGGCAGGTAGGTGACTGATATGCTGTCTTTCCTCTCATCTGTAATTTCCTCTGTTGGCGACTCGATTGTCCTGACAAAAAACACCTCCTCAGTTTTTTCTGTTTTGGGTTTCTCCTCCAGCCTTGTGACCTCCCTATCTTTGTCAGATTCCTGCAATACGACAATGGTTTCTTGTGTTTTCGGGACAACTCTGCGTTTAGTCAACCTGGTTTCTTTCCTCTTCGAAGTGTCAGTAACAGATATCTCACCTATCAGTTCAGACTTTTTGTCTCTTTCTGTTGTGCTTAAGATATCTACTTGTGATAATGACGATACTGTCTCACACAGAGAAGCCACTTCGTCATCGAACAAATCTTCAGCGTGTTCTTCCACTACTTCTTCGTGTTCCCACAACTCCTCTGAGGGGGACACTTTCTCTGTCATGTAATAAACTTCCTGTATTTTCTGAGCTCCTTTCTTTTGCTCAATCTTGACAAGACTCATAGTTGCTGGAAGATTTAAGAGGTGTTGAAGAAGTGGCGTCATATGGCGGCGCCAAGAGGTGATGACAAAACACAAAGACAAGCAATAGTGTTAGAAAGGGACAACACACAGATTAATTAAAGGGCTAATGCTTGAGGTGATCAAGAGTTAAAGATGTGGTTAAAGTACTCCATCATATTTCAGATGGTCGGTACCTTTTTCTGGAGGAGAGACTTTTTTCTCTTGTTCAACCTCTGTTGGCAGAATCTTCTCAATCTTCTTCTTTTCTATTTCTTTTAAAGAATTAATCAGTTTTTAATCCAAGATGGTGACTGAGTAGAATATCATTTTAAAAGGAAATCATTTAGGCAGTTAACAAACATACAGAAATAACCATCATACAGTGAATAACAAAAACACAGCAAGCAATAAGACATTAAAGAGGGATGTAAGATGTTACGAAAACCTTTGAAGAAGTGGCAGCTCTTCAATTATTATTCTATTTGCACTTTTTCACCAACTGTGATATCAATACTTAAATTTGCTGTCAAACAAACATCTGCTGTAGACTTAAAAATGAAATAGTTCTGTTCATTGCATAAGTTGTCTTCAAGCCAGAACATGATTAGAATTTTTATGATGTCATATTTGTTTTGTTTTTTGAAACACAAAACTATCCTAGTGTGCTCTGCTGTATGTTAGTTTATTTTCTACCACTAGATGGCGCATAACATTTTTTTAATTTTATACCAAACAGCTTTGCAGTAATAAAATATTTTAATAGGTTTACTTGGCAAGTTTTACTCTCTGTTGTTGAGTTATAGATTCCTTTCAAAATATTCTGATGAGTTTAACAATAGTAAATGTATGGAATCTATTGTGACATTTTGGTATGACAAAGTTAACAATTAAAATAATGATGGTAGAGATTCTTGCATCAGTTCAAACTTTAGTTCCCCTTGCTGTGAGTCTGATTTGCCTTTAATTATCAATGTGGTGTAATTATTTGCATCAAAATGATACAAAAATTTTTTAGTGAACTTTTAGATTAATGCACCATATGCTGCCATATAGCAGATATATAAGTGCTGTAACTGGACTGTCGCTGATGGATCACATGCATGAAGAAGACACAAAGAAAGATATAAAGAGTTGAGGTCTGTCTCAGCTGTACCTTTAGGACGAGTTTCTTCTACCTCTCGTCTAGGTTTAGCTTCAGGCACCTTCTCAGGTGTTTTATCAGGGGTCTTTGTAGGAACTGTTTTATCTATAGAGATCCTTTCTGTTTGTTTCTTTTCAGGTTTTACTTCCTCAACCTTTATAGGAAGTTCCACAGGTGGCTTCTTCTCAGGAGTCCTCTCTTCTTCAGCCACCTTCTGAGGAACTTTCACAGGCTTCCTCTCAGGAGGAGCCTTCTCCTGCACTTTTTTCTCAGGTGGCTTTTCTGCAACCTTTTCAGGCACTTTTTCTGGCACCATCTTTGGAATTTCCTCCACTTTTCTTTCAGGTGCCCGTACTTTCTCTGGGACCCTCTCAGGGGTTTTTTCCTTCACCTCTGTTTTCCCTGGAGGCCGTCTCTCAGGTACTGCTTCAGGTGTTTTATCAGGCAGCCTCTCAGATTCAGTCTCCAACACGACTACCTCATCATACACCTTCTGAGGTACTTTTTCAGGCACCTCTTCAGGTAAGATTTTAGGTTTGGGCTTCAAAGCTTTAAGAGGGTTTGACACAAAAACATGCACAAGACATGACTATAAAGAATAGAAAAATGTGCTAGCGCACAAATAAGGACACATTACACATAACAGGGGATGCTTTACACAAATTATCCTCCTTTAAGCAGAGGAAAGATCATGAAATAATGGTAATGCTCTTCAGGGGGCCACAAAGTTTCCTGGAAATCTGGCCAGTAGTAACTGAGACATCTGTACCTGACCTACAGATATTAATATGTAATATTATCATTTAAACATATCACATTGAGTAAGACACTCCACTTGTCTAAAACTTCAACAAACTCAGAAGACAACAAAAAAAAGTGAGAAAAGATCCATCAGAAACATAAAAGTACCTTTCTCTTTCTTTGTTAGCTCTTCTTTGGGAGGAACAACAGTAGGTTCTGGTTTCTTGGCTGCTTTTGGAGGCTCAGGCATTTTTTCCTCCACAGCAGCTTAAAAGAGTACCATTCACATACATTAGAACCCTTTCAATGAATTCAAGTTCAAGAGATGGACAAATACAACACTCTGTCGAGTGCAAGACAAGAAAGACTAAAACTGACAAACACAACATGTGTGTCGTAACATCACAGTAACTCTGTGAGCCAGAAGTTAGACGTTAAACAAAAGGAACACACCACAGAAGCTGAAGAGGGTTTAAGATGAGTGTAAGAGTTTTAGTGTGACGGGTTAAGAGTTTCCTTGTATGAAGAACTAAACACAAAAGGGATCAATAAGCACTCATGAAAATCACTCCAGATGAGTTAATGTTGGATGATTAAGAAAATTAAGAAAACCTCCGGAGCTACATCTCAATCAGAAATGTTTTATACCTTTTTTCGGAGGTTCCTTTGGTGTGGGTGTTGGTTCTGGTTTTGGCACTCTCACTTCGGCTTCAGCTTTTTTAGCTACTAGTTCAGGCTTGGGGACCCCCGCAGGCTCTGGTTTTGCAACTGCAGGTTCTGGCTTCTTCTTTTCAAGAGGCTCTGGTTCTGGTTTTCTGACTTCTGGTTTTGGTTTTTCTGGTTCTGGTTTTCGGACTTCTGGTTTTGGTTTTTCGGGTTCTGGTTTTCGAACTTCTGGTTTTGGTTTTTCGGGTTCTGGTTTTCGGACTTCTGGTTCTGGTTTTCGGACTTCTGGTTTTGGTTTTTCTGGTTCTGGTTTTCGGACTTCTGGTTCTGGTTTTCGGACTTCTGGTTTTGGTTTTGTTACTGCTGGTTCAGGCTTGATCTTTGCCGGCTCAGGTTTTGCAGCCTCTTCTGGGACTTATAAAGTAAGATTTAAATTGGTTTAGATATAAGCAAAGACATTCAGGACAAACAGAAAGTCAAAGATTCGCTTCCACGCTTGAAGCTAAGCACAGTTTAGACATTTCAATACTCAACACAGAGAAACATACTCACAGTTAGACTTAAAGTCTTTAAAACTCAACACACATATCCATACAAAGCAGGAAATACCTTTGGATGGTGGTGTTGCCGTCTTCTTTACCAGTGCCAGCTTAGCTTCAGGCTCTGGCTCAACCTTCGCCGCAGGTTTGGCTTCAGGTTCTGCTTTGGGAGCCGGTGTGGGCTTAGGCTTTGGTTCAGGTTCTGCTTTCGGTTTGGGTTTGGGTTCAGGCTCAGGCTTAGCAGCGGGGGCCACTTTTTTGGGCTCAGCTGGTACCTGAGGTTTGTGCTCATCTTCAGGTAGGTAACACAGACATTAACTAAGGTTAGGATGAAGTCATTGTAGCATCTAAGAGTTATCAAGAGGCATTTGAAAGAGTGAAATGATATTCAACAAGGAGACACATTGATGATAAAGTATTACACCAAAAATCCACAGAACACCAGTTACAGAGTACAAACAGTATGATTAAAGTCAAGAAAAAATGAAGACAAGACAGACATTAAGAGGTGAGAAGCTACCTAGCGGTGAGCACAAATAAGCTTCTACTGAGGACGCCTGATAAGATGTCAAACAACAGGAAGAATAAAGTTAAGTACCTTTCTTTGGCACTCCAGGCTTCTCGGCAGGCAGCGAGGGAGCAGTAGCAGGCTTCTTAACCTCCTCTGGTTCTTTTAAGATACATTCAAACACATGATAACTCAGAAAAACAAGGAAAACAAGATGACAAAAGGAACAGACTGAATCTGAACAAGAACTGTCAAACCACATCATAATAGAATAGTCAACATAAGGACAGTGTCATCAGCAAAGATGGAAGATGTTCAGAGGGGAGATGTTAGAAATCTCTACCTTTGGGAGGAAGAACTTTCTTCTTCTCTGGGACTGAAACTACAGGAATCTTTTCCTCCACTGGCTTTTTGGCCTCAGGTACTTTTAAGTGAAATAAAGTGAAATTAAACATAAAAACATTACAAATGGTTATAAAGTAAAAGAGCACACAGAGACAATTACATTAAATACACAACAACTATTTTGAAAACATGGAAAATCACAGATGAAGTTAATATTAAGCGGTACATGCCAACATCAGAGGTATGTTGGTACCTTTTGGTGGCGATGGCTCCTTCAAAGCTGGTGCTGGCTTTTCTTCAGGCTTTTTCTCAGCTTTGGGAACTTAAAAGACACCGATTGTGTTAGCATCACAAAAGAGAGATGCTGTGCATTTACAGGTGAAGCAGAGAAGCGCAGCAGAAGATAATAAGACACAAAAACAAAACATCTACAACTACAGTTGATCATTTAATAAGTCTATCTGTAGAAAAAATAACAGATTAAGTAAGAGAGGAAAGAAATAAAAAGCAGGAATGACAAACCGGAACAGGACAAAACAATCAAAGATTTTAGTAGTGGAGGACGGACAAATAAGTTTGCAAGACAGCGCGCTGAGCTGCAGCAGGAAGACATTCAGGCCTGTGGTACCTTTTGATGGGATCTCCTCTCTCATTCCAACTTTCTTGGTCTCCACGGTCTCCTCAATGGGAACTCTGACAGCTAGTGGAAAAAGAAACACACATGGACACATCCAAAATCATCATCATTGTTAGAAAACATCTCTGATGTCCAACAGTAACTGAGGTAAAAGCAACAATTTTAAAATATGAAGTACTGCTCAGAAGAAATGTGTTTTTATTCAAATTGTTATTAGTTATTAGATAAAAGAGTAATTATCTCCTTTATTTTGTTGAAAAACTTGTGCTGTATAAAACTTTTACGATAAAAACACAAACTTTAAATAATGTACTCTATATGTGTGATTCGAAAATCACCAAATCACAACAACTTTTTAATGTGTAAATAATACGTATAACTGAATCTACACCCATGCATTTGGAAATTAAAGGTTTTGGGAGGTAAGCAGAAGCCATTAAATTAACCAAACTGACCTCAGACATCAGTTAAAGACACAAGAGAGGTTATTGTGGGAAAAGTTAAGACAGAAGATCAATTATAAGACAAACAAAGACAAGAAAAAAGGGTGAGAGACGGGAGACACAAAAAGTACAAGAGCTAAAGGATGTAAGTGTCAAAAATAAAGACAAACATTAAGACAGAGCCACGGTTAAGAGCGGCTCAAACACACACAGGTATTAACAGCTAACCGACGTCCCTCCTGTGTGTTACTGTGAGCTGATACCTTTGGTTGTGGACACCTGTTGTGTTACCGTCTCTTCTGTCCAGCTCTGATACTCGACTGAAGTTGTGACGACCACAAAAGTGACAGAAGACAACAAACGTGAGGCAAACGGTTTGTGCTCGGTGATGAAAATTTATGTCATGACGTCTTTTCACAGTTTAAAAAAAGTTGCTGTCTTGTCATCGCAGAGAACCTTTAATAAATGAGATACGACTAAAACTATTCATCAGTTTCAATTTCCCAGATCAACAAGACAAAAGACTTTTACTGTGAAATGGCGACACAACTGGAAATTAGTGAGTGTGCAATGGAAGAGTTGGAAGATGGGATGAAAGTTAAAGAGTGAAAAAAGAAGAACACATCTTCACACATCAGACGCAAACAAACAACAACACATAAAATCCACAAGATAAAGGCACGTGCCTCTCTGTTGGCAGTAAAAAACTTTACAAAGAGGAGATCAGTCAGATGACACACATGATGTTATGGTGAACGCAAGAGGCAGATTTGGGTAAATTCCCATTCTGAGACACTTGAAAAAAGTATTTAACGTCAATATTATTGATATAATATTATACTTCAATATTAACTAATAGATCGCTTATTTGAATAATTTATTGTTCTTGTTTGTTGGTCTTTCTTTAAAAATGTATTATAGTTCCTGTATAAATATAGTTCCTATCTGAAAACTGAAAATAGTTTCTGTCAAAAAAGATGAAGATTTAGGATTTACAAGCAAATTCTCAGAAAACAAATCATCTTTATAAAAATTTTATTAATCTTTATTATGTTACTATTTAGTCTTTTTTGTGATGTACAAAATATAAATATCATAAATCATAAAGAAAAATACTATATATTTGAATATCTAATGAATGTTAAGGTGTCTGTGTTTCCCAGATCTGCTCAGATGGTTTGATGGTGATGGAAAGGATGAAGTTTGAGTTAAAAATAAAGAAATACAACATGTTGTACCTCTCTGTTCCACCTCCACCTCTTCCTCATAATGATATGAATATTCAGCTGATTCTTGAGAAAACAAAAGTGTATTTTTTGTTTCCGTTATTAACAACAAAGACAGAAGACTTTTCAATTCATGATGAGAAGTATGGATTAGTTTGACTGTCAGTGAGGTGAGAGATTACAATGGTAAAAAAAAGTTGATTAATTGTGTTTTTATACTGTTAATGTTAAATCTGATGTGTAATATAGTTTAATGTTAAACTGAAGTTAAGTTATTTTTGGTAAAATCTGGTTGGGATGGAGGATGTAAGCAGATGAAGTCCAAAAACACACAGTAAATACCTCTATGTTCTTCTTCATAATGATAGAATTCAGCGGATTCTTTAAAAGACAAAAAACATATTGGTTTCATTATTATTAAAGATTTGGGTCAGAATATTGTTAAACATAGTCTTCCGATTCCTTGGTCTAAACTCGCATGTTAGAAAATGATCTTGTTTGAATCTTTCTGTTAAATGGATTTAAAAGTGATCTAAATCCTGCTCCTGATTCCAGCCTTACCTTGAATAGCCACTGACGAAGGCACTTCAGGCCTCTGAACTGAGGAGTCTGGGACATCTACAGAATACGGAATATGGTTCATACCAAGTCTTTAAGAACAAAACTGGACTGCACGCACAGTAGATTAAAGATTATATTAACAGTTGGACTGTTCTGTAATTAAAGAACAGTTGGACATTTTGGAAAATCCTCCTGCTTCCCATGTTGGAAGGTATCAGACATAGATAGCACTAAGTTCCTACAAACTGCTACCATAAAATCAGTGCTAGCTACCAAGTCTTTAACAGGTCGACACTGATTATAGCATTTTGTGTATACACAGGCTAGTTCCATCTGCTTTCATTCTTTGTGCTAAGTTAGGCTAAACATGTTTTTGCAGAACACCTGTTAGCTACAAGCAGCCACCATACTATTGGATAAGAGTTTGTAGCTAACATAAAGACAGATAACTACAAATAGGTAACATAATGTAGGCTAGGCTAACAGTTTCCATAAGCTATGATAACATCAAGTAACTGCAAACGGCTTGCATAATTTTGGATATACTAACTGTACTTTGTTTAACTTTGGCCGACTATAAACAGCTAACATAAGAGTGCCTTGGACACTGTTCATGGCAGTTCTTAGCCAAGTACAAATAGCTAATAGCAGTTAAGATAATGTTAATTATGCTAGCTGTTTGCACTGGCTAGCAGTTTCTAGTCTCTGTGATAAGCTAGGCCAAATGTGTCTACAGGGATGAAACTGATATCCAATTTCTCATCGGAATCTGGCGAAGAGGGAGAACAAGAGGTTTTCCTAAAATGTTTATGATAGATTAAACTGTCTAGAAAATAAAATACTTACCGAAGGGCACCATTGCTAATTCAATTTCTGTGAAAAGGGGAAGAGTGAAAAACGCGTTAAACACTAAAAACAGACAAAAGCTGAACAGAAGGATAAAAAGTGCCGTCTGACTAGGAACTGTACCTTTGCCAGACAAATAAAGCTCAGCTGTGCTCTTAGCCTCTCCTCTGGGCTCCAACCTCACAATCACTGAGTACACGCCTACACGGGATTATTAATGAAGACGTTTAACACTCAAGTCACAAAAACAATGTGAAAAAAAATCTTTGGGGCTTTGTGACGGGCCTTTGGGGCTCACACACACCTTCGTCTTCAATGGTCACGTTTCGGATGACCATGAAATGTCTTCGGCCCTCGCTTGTGAAGTTGTATTTAGGGCTCTCTCTCAGTTCCCAGGTGTCTTTGTACCATGAAACAATAGCGTTGTCGAAGGACACCTCGCACTCAAAGGTGGCTGACTGGCGCTCGTTGACTTCGATGTTGTGGATGCGTTTGGTGAAATGAATTTGTTCAGCTAAAACAGATAAAGACGTGAATGGGTAAACGGGTTTGGCATCACAACTGGGAATGTAAGACAAAACTTGAATGGTAGTTTTCATCGACACAACATCCACATGGTTAGAAATGATGGTCAGAGGAATGTTTATGGGACGGTTATGATGGTTGTTGGGGGTGAGAATGGATTTGAGTCGAAACGGACGTAAGAAGACAAGGAATGAGATGATGGCGGACGTTTTTTGCAAGATAATCCAGGAGAGGAGAGGCATGAAGAATGTTAAGACAGAAGAAGACAAATCCCAGAAGAAAGAGAAAAAAAGAGGGCAAAATCCAAATCTCCAACGTTAGTCTCAGAGTTTGATGGGGGGAGTCGAAAGAGGTTAGTAAACGGGCAGAAAATCCACCACGTCTAGAAGGTTGCAAGATTGTTTCCAGGTACAAACCTTCTACCCAGAGGTCGGCTGACGACTCCAGGTGCTGGTACCGGCAGGAGTATCTGCCCTGGTCTTCAGGCTTCAGGTCTTTGATCAGAAGCTTCTGAACCTTGTGTTTCACCTCGGACGTGTACCTGCCCTTCATCTCTAACTGTTTGCCGTTTTTAAACCACTGAGCCTTTACATTAGGGATGGACAACTGACAAAACAGAGTACACGACTGGCCTTCCTTACCCGATGTGTCCTGCAGATGCTTTTCAATCTCCGCCTCTGAAAGACAGAACACACAAAGAAGAGAGTGTTAAGAAATTATTCCCCAAGTAACCCAGAGTTTAACGAAGGAATATAAAATGACATATTTTCATGCATCACAGGTGAACAGAATCAGTACTGACCCATGACGGTGAGCTTGGCGCTGGAGATGTGCGGCCCACAGACCACCCGGTAGTTGCCCTGGTCAGACGACTGGCACTTCTTGATCTTGAGCAGGTGGCGGTCGCCACTGATGCTGATGTCATACTTGTCGTTGGTGTCCAGTTTCTGGGTGCCCTTGTACCAGGACAGGGTGATCTCCGGGTAGTTGATCTTGATCTCACACTCAAACACTGCCTCCTTGTTGGTGAAGACGGACTGATCGGAGATGTCCTTCACCACAGTGACAGGCTGCAGGAGCAAAAGGAGGTTAACTCTCTGAAGTCAATGTTTCTGATAGAAACAACAATGTTAACTCTTTGTCAAAGTCCACAAAACACTGGATCCTACACTGGAGTCAGAAATAGATCGATGGAAAACCTTGACTCATGCTAAGAATAGCAACCATTAATAATATTTCATACGCATCAGACAATGTCTTGTTTTCTGTGAATCAGGAACACGTAGCAACAAATGTATTAATTAATCGTGGGGTTACAGTCCTCTGGTGTAAGAATGCAGCCAGTAAACGTGTCCTGACCTCTGTCCGCTCCATCCTCTTCTGCAGGTCGGCCACCAGTCGGGCCATGTCTTCATCAGACTCTCTGTCTCCACGTTCCAGTTCCTGTCAACAACAACCACATTATTCAGCAGACGTCTACAGACAAAAAAGCCCAACAGCGCTTGTACTTCCTCCGCAAACTGAGAAGAGCAGGAGCCCTGCCCCCCATCATGCACACCTTCTACAGAGGCACCATCGAGAGCATCCTGACAAGCTGCATGATCGTGTGGTACGGCGCCTGCACCGTGTCCTGCCGCAAGACTCTGCAGCGCATCGTGAGAGTAGCTGAGAGGATCATTGGTGTCTCTCCCCCCCCCCCTCTTGGACATTTACAACACCTGCCTCACCAGCAAAGCCATCAGGATTGCAGGTGACCCCACCCACCCATCTCACAGCCTCTTCAGCTTGCTGCCGTCGTGGAGGAGACTGCGGGCCAAAATCAGCAGGCTCAAGGACAGTTTCTTTCACCAGGCGGTCAGGAGACTCAACTCCCTGCTCTACCCCCCACTCCCCCCTTCTGCCCCCTGCCACAGACTCCGACCGCACACCCCCCCCCCCTCCCCTTCAGCATCTGACATCATGTCCTCGCCCCCCTCCACCACTCACACACTCTGAACTCAGGGACTGCACATTCCACTTTCCCCAGCTTATTTGCACTACACCGTACGACCTCACCTTAACTACAATGGACCTTGCCCGTTTGCACCGTGGGTCCGAGAGGACTGATATTTCATCTGTGCTGTATGTCGTGCATGTATAGCATATTTGTCAATAAAGCTGACTTTGATCCTTTGAGACAGAAACACAACAGACAAACTGGCTGTGAAGAAAAATTACCGGTCTTCCACTTTCTTCAGCTTTCTCCTTCTTCAGCTGCTCGATGGCCTGCAGCAGGCCTCGGTAGTCGGTGATGCCGTACATTCGGGCATATTTCTCGTACTCTTTGGGGTCCACATTCCTCAACAACTCAACAATGTCAATGTCCTTTTCCTCCTGTGGACTCTTCTGCTTCGAAGGCGTCCTGGGAACAAGACAAAGGAGCCAACGTTAGTTTGTAAAGATGGAAACAGCAGAAATGACTGAATGTAAATTTAGACGAAGATGGATTAAAGAATATTTTAACAGACGGATAAAGTAATTAAACTCACTTCTTCAATTTGGCTCTGAGGTCTCCCTCGAGCTGTGCTGACTCTTTTTTTTCGTCCACGTGCATTTCGGAGCTGGACTCAATCTCTCCGTGCTTGTTGGAGGCGACACACCTGTACTGACCCGAGTCTGACTTGGTCACCTCTCTGATCTCCAGTTTGGCCTCCTGGCCCTTCTGCTCGATGGAGATCCGGCCACCGTGTGTGATCTGCCTCCACTTACCCTTCATCCACTTCACACTGGGGATGGGGTCGCCGCCAACTTTGGCGATGAAGGTGGCGGTGCCCTCTGTGGAATAACGGGAGGGGAGTTTGAACAAATTAATAAATTTCACATTTACTTTCAGTGGCATCAGCTGAAACAAACAACTGTTTGTTGCTAAATTCAGAATCTGGGTCAGTTCCCCAGAAATCTAAGATTTTATAAAGTTGTTGTGTAACACAAAGCTGTTATCGGTATCTGTTTATGTTACAAAACTATCTGTATTCGGATTATTCTTGTTGTTGTCTACGATGTAAAGCCAAAGCTCACGATATACATACAAAATATAAAATAAATCCTCCCGTCAGCCTTTGCAGACCGTTCAGGCTGTTAACAATTGTCAATAATTTGAATGGACTTCAGCTTGTATTCCTCTCTACTGTAAATTACACAAGGTGGCAGTATTACATCAGAAATTCAAAGGGTCTGTGCATATGCAGTGACTTCCTGTTAATATAGTTGATTGTTTTAGACAATACAACACTACAGATGTTCCAGTAGGAATAATTCTTCATTTTGAGAAATACATATATTCACTTTCTAGTGGAGAGTTAGACAAGAAGATTGATATTAATAATAATCAAAAGAAGAGGTTTATACCATTGTTTAATTAGCTGAAAAAGATAATGAGACTCTTCTGTTTCTGTGTATTATGCACATGTTGTGTGTTGTGTTTATGTTATGGTTCTCACTCTCAGTGACGTGTGTAGTTTTGGGTTCCTCGACGAAGAACAGGTTTGCCAGTTTTTTGGTTGGAGCGGCTGCTGGAGCTTCAGCGGGAGCCGGAGCTGCTCCTGGTTTCTCTGCAACACAATGAAATACAGTGTAACATCACAAACCTCAGTTCAACTGTTAAACAACAAATGTAGTAGTAGTCTCACTGATCATTATGTTTTTATCAAACATATTAAATCATGCTAAAATAAAATCCAGTTAAATATAGACATCAGTGTCAATCACAGTTATTATCACTAACTGATCTAAACATGAAAACATATCATATTTTGTTGATAAGGCCCATTGTTCCACTCCTTAACAAAAACATTTAATGACTTACTTAACTAATAATACATTTAGTAATTTCTTCCAGTATGAGTGTACCACAGACTTAAAAACTATAAAAATGGCAGTTATCAGCATTGGCTTATCACAAACATATTGGTATTATATCGGTTGATTTTCATTCCAAATCCAGTATATCGACAATAATCTGTGAATTTGTCCCCTCTAAAATCTCATATTGGCCGGGCTCCAAAGTTGATCTTTAATAATAGTGAGGTTAAGTGCTATTGTCTTAATGTTCACAAGTACTACTGCAGTATGTTTCCACAGTTTGTACCTTTGATGGTGACTTTGGCCTTGCAGAACTCGCTGCCGGCATCGTTGGTGGCCTTGCAGAGGTAATCGCCGGCGTCGTGCCTGGAGGCCGAGCTGATCTCCAGACAGGCCGTCCCGTCAGAGAAGCTGATCCTGGTGCTGCCAGCTGACGTCAGGTCCTTCCTGTCCTTCATCCACTGGATCTTCAGAGGAGGAGTCCCGCAGACGTGACACCTGAGGCCCAGCTTCTCGCCCTCGTCCACCGTCACCGGTTTGAGAGGGACGTCAAACACCGGAGCTTTCTTGGCCTCTGCAGGAGAGATAATCACAGTTTTATTACAGCAGACTGTACTAGGGTCAGTGCTGAGGCTACTGAATTAGATCTATTGTAAAAACAAGAAAAATTATAGACCACAAATTTGCATATTTTATCCTATGTTTAGATTTCTGTTCTGAAAATGTATGCAAATTAGCATTTTTTTAATTAGATAATGTCTCATTTGCATATTTAAACATAAAACTTCTGGAAACTTGTAATACAAAAAATAATTCTAAATAGGTAAGAAAGCAACTGGGTAAGTTTCATGATGATATCTATTAGTTTAAATTGTGACCCTATTCACAGTCCCACCCACCTGAGATGCCCACAGTGACGTCGCAGGAGACTCTTCCAGCCTCGTTGGAGGCCTGGCAGGAGTACCTGCCGCTGTCCACCACCTGGCTGCTCTTAATGCACAGCACGGCCACGTTACTCTTGAAGCTGATGTCGTATTTGTCGGAGCTGTAGATCTCTGTGTTGTCTTTGAACCAGCTGACGGACATTGGCTGCGAGCCGGAGACGCGGCCCTCGATCTTCACCAGTTTGCCCTCCATGTCCTCGATCTGCTCCGAGGGCTTTTTGGTGAAAACTGGAGGATTTTTACGCTCTGGTAGCAAGAGGAAAAAGTGACGATGAGGAGAGGAAGTTTGTTTTTTTTCACACAAAGAAACGCCCTCAAATGGGGGCTGAGTGTTAAAGAAGATAGGGCCGAGGTGATATTAGTGTGGCCCGGGTTAAAATACCTTTGACAGTGATATCAGAGGAACAAGAGTCCTTCCCCATGTCATTAGAGGCATGGCAGAAGTATCTCCCCGTGTCGGCTTTATCTGCCTTCAGAATGGTCAGGTGGGGCGTGTTTTCCACACAGCTGATCTTATAATTTCCCCCAGTGCGAATATCTTTATGGTCTTTGGACCATGTGACTTTAATGGGGGCAGAGCCAGTCATGTGACACTCAAGCTCAATGCTGTCACCCACCGTCACCTCCTGTGGTGACAACTTCCTGTCAAAGACTGGAGGATATCTTGGTTCTGCAGAGGGTCCGTGAAAGAGCGGGAGGAAGATAAGACAACAACAACAAATCTTTAAATGGGAATATTTAAAAGTTTGGGCATCAAACAGCCTCACACTGTCTGATCAGTAATATAAACACAATCTGTTTCTATTCACAACCACAGACTCACTCGACTGTATCATAAACAGAGAGTAGAGTTTCTCAACCTCAGAGTCAGGACCTCACTGGAGTTCAGGAGATTTCTACGACTGTTACAAAGTGGTATTAAGTAGGGTTGAGCGAGTACTCGGCTGCACAGAGTATCCAGTACAAATAATATACTTTTTATGAGTATCAAACGGGTAAAATGTGTCAATGGATAGGAACAGAGTTAAATGAGTTAGTTGAACAGATCATCGAAATATAAATGTACAGAAATGAAGCCAAAATATCCCAGAAAAAGAAAGACCTAAAATGACAGAAACCATCCATGACCAACCAATTAGATTTTTTTTGTTTGTCCCATTTGCTGACAATGAGGCTTTATGAGCTATACTGCAGTCAGCCACCAGGGGGAGATAGAGAGAGAGTCTATACTGCAGTCCATCTTTATATATGTCGATGATACAGATAATAGTGTACTCTGTCATCATCTCATCCCTAGTATTAACCACCTTTCACCACCTAAAAATGAAAAAGCTACTCAGAGGGGATTCCTGAAGACAAAACCCTCTCACATTGGGGGTCCTGATGTGCAACTATCCTTGACATGAAAAAGTTTGGGAACCTGAATGAGCCTCAAAAGACTTGAAGATCGCTTTGGGACAACGGGGTCATAGAAGGTTGAGAAATTCTGCTTCAGTGTCTTAAACTGAACAGTTAGAAGTCTGCTATAAACTCAAACATCGTGCTGCTCATCAGTCGCTGTGCCGCACGGTACAGACCTTGTAGGGTGAGCTTGGCTCTGCAGGAGGTCGAGCCCACGCTGTTGGTGGCCACGCAAGCGTACTCCCCGGAGTGCCTCATCTCGCCACGGCTGATCTGCAGCACGGCAGTGTTATCGTCGTATGTCATGGAGAACTCGCTTCCCTCCCTCAGAGGCTCGCCGTCTTTCAGCCACGACACCTCGATGGGTGACGAGCCAGCAACACGGCACTCGAACCTGACCGGCTGATCCTCGGTCTGCTGCAGGCTGGTGATTTTCTTGGGGAAGGTTGGCGGCGTTTTGGCCTCTGGAAGGAAAAGATGTGACAGTGAGTGGCAGAAATGTAGTTTTTTTTCTGTTTTATGATACTTTATACTTCTGGTTACTTATTAATGATGATTTTACATTACTGTACATTCTCCAAAATAGTGCAAACTACTATTTTACTTACATTTTACTTAATAATTTAAATAAAGTAACATTTGCAGTTCAAACTTGTAACAGAGTATTTTTACAGCTTTACCCTTTCTTAGTAAAAAATCTGTAAGTACTCCTTCACTGACTAATTAGTAAATAAATATGATTTAATGCTCTAGAGTCTGGCTTACTGTGCGTTAATTTTTCTCAATTCTTCTTCTTCACTTTTTAAACTATCCTTACTCCACATACATGGTCTTCCTTTTTTCAGTCTAACTTTGTTAATTTAACTACTCTAAAGCTGCCAGGAATATCACAGTATTATTATAGAAAAAGTTCAAGGATGTCAAAAATGTAGTGTCAAAATTTATCTTATCTTTGTGTGAATTTAATTTAAATTGTATTATTATTGTACACTTTGTTAAGAAAAGCACTATACAAATAAAGTTGATTAATTATTATACTGTATATATATAGATATTGTAACTTGTATAAATTTGACATATTACTTTTATTTTGTGTCTATTTTTTTGCCTTTTAATTCTGATCCAGAAAGGTGCTGCAGCATATAAACAAACTTTATTTCTCATTTTATAATATTACACATAAATCATTAAAGATGAAAAAAGTGTTGAGATTCACAATAACTAACAATGTATTAAAGTTGACACTTTGGAGATGACAGTGTTATAAATGCAGTAGTTTGGAGAGAAGGAAAATCAGGTGTTCACCTAGCACATTTAGTCTGCAGGTGGAGGAGGCGGAGCCAATCCGGTTCTCCGCCTTGCAGGTATACTCTCCAATGTCGGCCTTGGTGGCCTTGCTGAGCTTCAGACAGGCGACGCCCTTCGAGTACTCTAACTTACAGGTGGGGCTGGACCTGACTTTGCCGTCCGCCTTGAACCAGGACACCTTGATCTCAGGTGTGCCCGCCACCTGACACTTCAGACACACAGCGTCTCCCGCTGTCACCTCCATGGGCTCCAGGGACTCGACGAAGTACGCCGACTCTGCACAAACAAAAACTGTTCAGACTCAAGAAAACATCTGTGTGAAGGCTGACACCTGCTGGTCAGAGCAGGTAGTGCACGGACCATCTGGAGACCTTACTTTTACCAAGCATGTTACAAACTCATGGCTGTCTTTCTAAAATGTAAGAAAGAAGTTTCCTGTTGTTCTTTTGTTTAGTTTTTGTTGCCTTTTTGCCCCTAAATTCACTCTATTTCAGAGAGCAAAATGGCCCCAATAATTGCTTAAATGTTCACAGTTGGAATAAATTGTGATAATAAAGTGAAATTTATGTTTCTTAAAAGCAAATTTTCCTCGTCGCTGTTGCCAAGTGCTTGCTCATGGTGGAAACTGTTGGGTCTAGACCTGCTCTATATACAAGCATCAGTGTGAAAACAATAAACAGAAATATAAGCAGAATCAGTTCAAATATTTTCAGCCAAAAAAAGAACTAACCAAGGATGGACACAGCTGCCTCACACGTGTCCTTTCCGGCATCATTGGACACTTCGCAGGAGTATTTCCCTGCGGCCTCCATGTCGTCAGTGCTCAGACACTCGAGGATGCAGGAGCTTTCGGTTGTGGTGATGTTGTACTTGTAAGAAGCAAAGATCTGCTGGCCGTCTTTGTACCAGTTCACTGTGATTTTAGGAGTTCCAGTGTACGTACACTCCAGCGTCAACGGTTTGCCTTTTTCAACTGACACATCCTTCAGCTTCTTAGAGAAGGCTGCTGGCTCTGAGTGACACAATAAAACACAATGTTTAGTTCCCTTTTATATCTTTTATAGGGATATAATAAAAAAGCATGAAGGAAATAAAATGACCAAAGTAAATAATTTAGTGGCATCTAGTGGCAAAGTTGCAGATTACAACCATTTGAATACAGCTCAGCCTTCTAAGTGTGTTGGAGAAACTAAACTATATACTAGAGCCAGTGTTTGGTTTGTCCACTCTGGGCTACTGTAACAACATGGCGGTTCAATATGGCGGCCCCGCAAGCAAAGGACCCGCTCCCTTTATAGATCCAAACATCTCATTCTAATGTAACTAAAACACAATGATTCCTACATTGAGGTGATTATACACTAATGAATACATACCTGAATATCATATTCCATTAATGACAATAGATCCTCCTAAATGTTACACACTGGACCTTTAAATACAACATTTGTGTTGTATCATATTTGCCAAGCGTTTTAAATCTTTCTTTAAAAATGTACTCCTCCAACCAGGAGGAGGAGCTAAAGAGTTTTTGTTGCTGGTGTGTAACGGTACATTACACCATTACCAGATACTCAAGCTCAAAGGTATGGTTTCGCAGTACTTGTACATTGCTTCGGAATTTAAAATGACTACTACTTTATAGTTTTGATCTACTACATTTCCATGTAAAATATTGAACTCTACTCAGTGTTACATGCTCCCCCACTGCTGGTCAGATACATACATGTTGACTAATGTGTTCTGTTACCTTCTCAGGTGTGGTTGAGTTGTTTGGTGGTTTTCTGATGGAACCTTTAGTTCGGTTTTTGGGGTTTTTAATTATTTATATGTTAAGTTCCCTCAAGGTTAAGGTTAGGTTATAGTAGAGAGAAGGAGCTTGGATTCTATGGCCCTATCCAGGCTGGTCTGAGCTGCTTCTTTTCTTTATGTTAATTTTGGCCAGTCCATCAAAACTTTGTTGTTTCAGTTATTTTGAGTACTTTGAACTTTTTGGTACTTTTGGTCTTTTTCATTGTTTGAAAATTAAATTCACCGTGCTCAGTGATTAGATTAGAGGTTAGACCTATTATTTAATGAGCCATTTGTGGGGGAGTTGTAACATATTTTGGGGGCTTGTCCAGGATATCCAAGACTCATCCCCATATCTGTTCGACAGCTGTAGACTTTGCTGATTTTACATATAAATCATATAATCAGCTCATAAAATATGATGCATTGTTACAGATTAAACTACCATAGACTATATAAATTATCTTAAACTACATTGTAATTGTTGTGAATGTGCATTATTTAGTATCAGCAGATGCTCCCCAGCATAACTACAGTTTGTGGATCTAAATAATGGTGCAAAAAGAGAGACTAACCTTTGACAATCAGATTAACTGGGCTGCTCTCCTTTCCTGCATCATTAATTATCTGACAGGTGTACTCTCCAGCGTGAGTTCTGTCCACATTGAAAAGCTCCAAAATAACTTGGTTATCCTTCAGGGAGAAAGTACAGCTCCGTCCAGCCACAATCTCCTTTGTTCCTCTGAACCACTTCAGTTTGAGGGGGGCGCTGCCTTTCACCATGGCAGAGAAAGTCACATTCGAGCCTGGCATGGCTTCCATCGGCTGTGGTGGCACCACGAAAGATGGAGGTTCTGGGTGTAGATGTAGAGTAACAGAGATCAAATGATGGTGGAATCTGAGTTTTAAGCAATTTAAGGGACTAGAAGTACTTTGCCTTATTTTACTTTTATTTAATCTGTATGGTTACTTGAGATCTAAATCCCTGGCCAAAATGGAAGCACAATAACGTGACACAAATCAAATCAAATCAAAGAAAAGTTGACTTTGTCCCTTTTAAACTCAGAAAGGTCCTGTTTTTTTTTTTTCTTTGTTACAGGCTGGTGTAACCTGTCTGCTCCACCAAAAACTTACCTTGCTGCTCTGACCTAGTATATGTGATACCTTCAGAACTGTTAAAAATAAATGTTTTAACAGAACATTTAAAGGGAAACCTAAAATCTAAAACATTAATATTCTTCAACAATCCGTTCACTTTTTTGAATAGCCGTAGTTTCATAAAAACAGAAAATGTGGCATATATTCATATTCAAAGCTAATAAGACATTTTGAGAAGTTAATGTAAGTAGCATGAAAACTAAATTTTTTGGCCTGGGACTATAAGGGTTAATTGAACAAGTAATTAATATAAGAAGTGAGTGCAACATGCAGTCTTTCTCTGTCTGTAGTTCTCTGACCTTTTACAACCAAGGAGGCTGTGGTTTCACTGGATCCTGCCTTGTTGACAGCTTTACATTTATACACTCCAGAGTCGGACAACTTCAGCGTGGGCACTTTGAGCATGCAGTTGTTGTTACTGAATGAAATCTCGTAATTTGGCCCGCTCTGTATCTCCTCCCCATCGTGGTACCATGAGATGGTATAAGGTGGGGAGCCCGACACTTTGCACTCCATCTCTCCGGCATCTCCGACCACTGTGTTGCAATCCTTCAACTTCCTTGAGAATGTTGGAGGTATGATCTTATCTATTAGGGAGGGAAACAAGGAGTTAGTAGTGCATCAGGACAAATACAAATGTAAATGCGTGGACATTAATAGGGCTGGGTATGAAACCTCAATGCGTTTTTGGTACAAACCGAAAGGTGTTGCACCAAGTACCAACAGCTGACACTGAATGTCTGGTCAAAAATAAGCTTGTCTCATTCTTTTGAAATAGTTCCTGATACAAATTATGCCAATTTCCAACTGGGTTTTGTTTTGACAAAGTTCTTGTATGGTTGCTTGTGTTTAGCCAACATTTAACATTTGAGAACCTAGGCATCTGTGGTTAATTAAAAAAGAAGGTTTCTGTAGAAAAACATATTCATATTTCTCAAAGGTATGAAAAAAAAGAGATAGTTTTGGTGCTGGTACCAAATGTCAACTTGGAAATTTTCAAACAATACCCAGCCCTAGCAATCAAACTCCAATTAGGAAGAAGACACCAACCTAAAACAGTGAGATTAATTTTACTCAGGTCCTTCCCGACCTCATTCATAACCTCAAATGTATATTCTCCAGAGTCCACTTTCTCAGCAGAGAGCACGTTCAGACTGGAAATCATCCGAGAAAATGAGATTTTGTATTTCCTCCCGGAGGCCAGCTCAACACCATCCTTGAACCACTTAGGTGTAAGCTCAGGGGTTCCACACACTTTGACTTCTAGGGCGGCAATGTCACCTGCCGTCACACTCAGAGCATCAGGCTTATCCACTATCTTAGCAGGTTCTGGAATCAACAGAGAAGGAGCAGAACATGCTTTTAATCAAACCTGCAGGGGAAGGAAGGAAAAAAACTGCATGAGAAAGAGAGAATTATATGTTTACAAACCTAGAACAGTCAAGTTAGCGAAACACTCCACACTCCCAGCATCGTTTCTGAGTTGGCAGGTGTATTTGCCTGCCGTGGTTGCATCGGCCTTAAAGACTTTAAGAGCGACCTGGTTGTTCTCAAAGGTGATTTTCCTGTTGTCACCGTCCCTGAGAATGTGATCCTTGTCTTGAACCCAGGACACAGTAATGGGTTCAGAGCCTTTAACAGTGGCCACAAGGGTCACCTCCTCTCCCAGTATCACTGTCATGTTTGACAGTTTCTTCACAAACGACGGGGGCTCTGAAGAGAGGAGACAAACAGCGCAAAAGGGAAAGTCAGCAAGGTGACAAAGTAATTTGAAAATCTAATATTTTTGATTTTCATTTGAGACCATCGCAATTTCTACTGACCTCTGAGTTTAACTGACGTCTGGCAGGTGTCACTTCCTACACTGTTTGACACTTTGCACTCGTATTCGCCAGCATCCGAGGGCTCTAATCCAATGACATGCAGCGTAGCTGAGCTGCCCTCGCTCACCATCTTATATTTCCTGCTCTCCATCAAAGGTTTCCTGTCTTTGAACCAGGTGATCTGGAACGGAGCTGTACCGCTCATCTCGCAGTACAGACTCACGTCCTTACCCTTCAGCCCTTCAACAGGCTGAGGTACTTTGACAAAGGATGGGGGGTCTACAAAAAGATCAGGAAACTGTTAAAGAGGCATACACGGGTAAAGTATCCATGACGAAATCTTAAAGCTGAAACCCGTAACATTTCACGTGTTGTCGCGTTCTACAGTGGCAAAAGGCCCCCAGCTAAGATGGCTGTGTAAGTTATTAAGGAAGTTTTTTGGAACTACTGCTAAGATGGTGGAATTCTTGTGGAGGGTGCGAGTGGTTGGAAATAAAGTCGAGATCGCAAAGCTGGCAGATGTTTGTGTGACTACAGTCTACAATTGGGAATTTTATGATTTATTAGTTTGCGTTATGTATGTTCTGTCCATATTTCTTCTTGAGTTCTGTGTTTTTAATTTAGATAGTTATCATTTAGTTTGTGTTTTGTACTGTTTCTGTATTTGTTTAGTTTTATGTATTTTAAAGGTGTGTCTAGGGATGGGCATTGCAAATTAGCTCTGGCTAGAAAGTGGCATTTGTTTGTGCTACATAATTACAAGTAAGATGACATAGTAAGTATGTAAAGTTCATGGAATTACAGTTATGAAAACAAAAGTTGCTGTGGGAGGTTGATGGAACAGAGATGGTTTCAAGTGGCATACTTGTGTTTAATGAAGCTAACATGACAGATACGTCTAACTTGGCAAAATTAAGACTGTTGTAACTAAAATGGTGGAGCTGTTGTAAAGATTTGTTAGAACTATAGCTAAGATGGGACGTGAAAGTGCATTGAGGTGAGATGAGATGACGGGCTTGTTGTGCAAGTTGTTGAAACTACAGTAAAGATGAGTTGAGTTGTAAAAAATTGTTGAAAAATCAACCAAGATGACAGAATTTATGTGTAAATAGTTAGAACTACAACTAAGATGGCAGATTTTTTAATGCAAGTATGTTGGGAGTTCCACTCAAGGGCGGACTCGTGGATTTTGGATGGGACTACAGATAACGTGGTGGAGTTGTGGAAATTTGTTTAAACTACAGTTGAGATGGCTGTGTTGTTGTGGAACAATTTTTGGGAAAGGATGTTGGCGTTACAGTCCAGATGGAGTTTTGGAAGTGCACTGAAACTACAGGTGATATGAAGTTGTTGTGGAAGGATGATGGAACTATAGTTAAGATGACTGAGTTGTGTAAATTGGTTTGACCTACAACGAAAACTGCCGTACAGCTAAAATGGCTAAAGTGTTGTGAATGACAGTTTTTGTTTGCATTCCTCCCCAAAAAGGGGGCAACCTGACAAGCTGATGAACATTTCTCAACAGCGGAAAAAAGGAGTCTCAAACCAAGGTAAAGGCTCTGGCCTGAACGTTTGACAATGCACCATAACGGAAGGCTATATAAAAATGTTACGTATTCCAGCTTTAAGCAATACAAAACAAACTTTGACTAAAACCTCAACAACACACTGAAGAGCCAGTGCATCAGAAAGTCAGACCATTAATAATAAATGATGATTAGGAAGTCAGTGAGAGGCTGACCTTTAACGGTAAGTGTGGTGCTGCAGCTGACACTGCCAGCATCATTCTGAGCTTCACAGGTGTAAACTCCATCATCATCAAAGCTGGTAGAGTGCAGTTCCAGGACTGCTACTGAGTCAACAAAGGATGTCCTGTAGTTGCCCCCATCTGTGACCTTGGTGTCGTGTTTGTACCAGGTCACTTTCAGAGGGGCTGTGCCACTGACTTTGCACTCCAGTCGGAGTGACTCACCCTGCTTCACAAACTTTGTGGCAGGGAGTTTCAGCACAAATTCAGGTGGTTCTGGAAAGCCAAAATACACACACGTTAGCTCCCGAAAGCATGTTGGGACATTTAAGACAGGCAGGAGGTGAGCAGATGAGATGAGCTGAGAAGATGAGCTGACAATGATGGGTTAGCAGCAGCGGCCGGATGGATATGGAAGATGTAGGTGCAACACAAAGGCAACACACAGTTTTTGAAGAGAAGCCGCAGCAGTGAAAAAGCTTCAACTAATAACAATGAAAGTGTTGCGAAGCTGGTAAAATGTGACAGAGAATCACTAGTTTTAGCCAGCGATGCAGATGTGAGATGAATACAGCCACGCAAGAGTTGATTTTAAAAATGTAAATCCAACCTTTGACTGTCAAGTCTGCACTACAGCGTACAGAGCCAGCATCGTTGCTGACTTGGCAAGAGTAAACTCCACTCTGGGTGACACCCACTGAATAGAGCTCTAAGAAGCAAGACAGCCCATCCAGCCCTGTGAAACAAGTGGGCCCGGTCATGAGCTCTGTATCGTCCTTGAACCATTTGACCATGAAGGGAGGTGTTCCCTTAAATGTGCCTTTGAAGCGTACAGTGGCGTTGGGTAGAGCCACCTGGGACTCAGGCAGCGTCACAAAGCTGGGAGGTTCTGAAGAGAACAAGACGGACCAGGTTAAAGAGGTACTCACCTTTGGTTGAGGTTTACATGACCAATCATGTTGGAAAACACTGTCTAACCTTTAACCATGAGGGATCCACTGCATTCACAACTTCCTGCTGTGTTGGTCAGTTTGCAAGAGTAGGATCCTGCATCAGATCTCTCTAGTTGTTCAATTTCAACGGACACAGAATTGTCCTGCTGAATCAGTTTGTGTTTTACACCACTAGAGATTTTGGTCCTGTCTTTCTGCCATTCCACAGAGATGGGGTGGGATCCGGATATTTTGCAACATATCTGAACAAAGGAACCCAAAATCTCTTTCATGTCTACCAGAGGTTTGATGAAGCTTGGGGCAATTACTTGTTCTGTTACCAAGAGAATAATAAGAAAGAAATTAGACTTTGTCCAACATGTCACTATGTACCACAGGAGTTATGTTTTTCACACCAACCTAGCACGATCACTTTGACTTTGCAGGTACAGCTACTGATGTGGTTTGCCACCTCGAAGACATACTCTCCTTCGTCCTCTCTCTGAGCAGACTGAATCTTTAGGCTGCTGATGGTGTTCTCAAACGTCAGCTTGTGCTGCCTGATGGACTGAAGCTCTCTGCCATCTTTCATCCATTTCACTTTGAGCTCAGGGGAGCCTGTTACCTTACAGTCCAGATTGACTGGATCTCCGACTGTAACTTTTATCACCTCAGGTTTCTCTGTGATCTTAGGAGGCTCTACAATGCAAAACAAAGTCAATAATGTATATACTTTCTTACCAAATCAAGACCATGGAAAGATTTGATAGCCATGATTAGTTAAACACAGGTATACCTTGCACCGTGAGGGTGGCAACGCACTTATCCTGACCAGCCTCATTAACCACCTGGCAGGTGTATTTTCCACTGTGTGTCGCCTCACAGGCAGGAATCCTGAGAGTGGCCACATTGTTCTCAAATGTTCTCTCAATCTTTGGATCCTCAAAAATCCAGTTCTCATCTTTTTGCCATTGTACAGAGAGAGTAGGAGAACCCTCCACAATACACTGAAATTCTGCCATTTTACCCAGAACAGTGGCAGTGTTGTCAATCTTCTTGGTAAATGTTGGTGGTTCTAATAGAGAAATCAATAAAATGTTCAAGTAAATGGTATTACCTCAAAGGCTAAAAATGTGGATTTTAAATTATAATTAAACCAACCTTTGAGGTTGAGCGTACTCTTGCAAGTACAGCTTCCCACCTCATTAGCAACAGTACACTGGTATTCACCGACATCTACAGCATCACATTTGTGCACCTCTAGACCCACAGTGCCATTTATCTGGGAGAAGCCATGTTTAGCACTAGGTTTGATCTCCTTTGCATCTTTGTGCCACGTTATCTCAAATGGACCAGTCCCAGCAATCTGACATTGTAAACAGGCACTGGAGCCCTTCACAACATCAGTTGGAACCAGCTCTTTAACAAATGATGGCAGTTCTAAGATGAGAAAAAACAAAATGTCATCTTGAAATCAATGCCAATACAGTTATTTTAAGCAGTATGGCAGGTAATCTAGAAATGGTAGATAGCTTCTTCAGGTTTTGGGGAACCTTTGCCTCCAGTTCTATATTCTTAAACCTTCTGCACAATGAGCATCATGTCTACTGGCACAACTAACCTTTGACCTTAAGCTCCATGCTGCAGCTCTCACTGCCAGCTTCATTGCGAGCCTCGCAGTAGTAAAGCCCACTGTCTTTGGCATCAGCCCCACAGACTTCCAGCGTGGCCACAGAGTTAACAAAGGCCATCTTGTGCCGATTGCTGGAGCTGATCTCAGAGCCTTCCCTGAACCAGTAGATGTCTATCTCAGGTGTGCCAGTCACCTGGCACTCAAATACTTTATTCTGACCAGGACGGACCACGGACATACGGGCTGGGGTCCGTGTGAACTTAGGAGGCTCTGAGAAATAAAATAAAACAGCAGATGAGGAGAATAAATCTCTATAAAGTTGATAATAAGTCTTGCCATCCAAATGTTTTTAAATTAAATTTTTTTATTTAGTAAATTTATTTGCTCCTTTTGTCCAATTCTTTTCTCTATTTTTTTTATAGCTTTTTGGCGTGATAGTCTCTTTGACGGAGACTGTCACGCCAGCAGAGCGTGAAACCTAACTCCTGCTGTCATGGATTTGTAAAGAGCAGTGGTTTTCTTCTTGTATTGTAAAAGGGCAGATCCAATTCAATTTAATACTGCATTTTTTCTGAAAATTTTTTAAATGGAAATTAAGTCAGAAAGTGAAGGGTGAAAATGTCCATAAAATCAGTTGGATGGAGACATATAAATGTCAGCTGAGTTTTACATAAAGAATTTTAACCTTTAACAAAGAGTGTTGCCTGACACGAAGTGGAACCAACATCATTCTGTATTTCACACACATAGTCTCCAGAATCTGAGGTTTTGGCAAAGAAGAGCTCCAGTGAGCTTGAGGTGTTGTCTTTGCTCACAGAGCAATCAGCACTGGATGTAATCTCTTTCTTGTTTTTAAACCATTTGGTGGTCAGGGGTGGTGTGCCAGAGACCAGCACATTAAACTGGACCTTTGAGCCAGGCAAAACATTCATGGATTCAGGTTTTTCAATAAGGCATGGTGGTTCTGGAAGAGAAAAATAAATGTATGCTTGTGAAATCTTCACATATAGCAAAGATCCTTTTCGTTGCACATCCACCTAATGATAAATACTACAAACATTAATTGTTTTCAAACCTTTGACAAACAAGATCCCAGAGCACTGAACAGTTCCCGCTTTGTTTTTAGCAATGCAGGTATAGTTGCCACTATCTTTACTGTTAAGATTAGAGATTTCCAGAAAAGCAACATTCTCGAAGAATGTGCATTTGTGTTTCTCATCAGTCTGGATCTCTTTCTCGTCTTTGTACCACTGTATGGTTATTGGCAGGGAGCCAGATACAAGACACTCCAGATGAGCAAACGATCCTTTGATACCTTCTGTCTTCTTCAGTTTTCTTGTAAAAGATGGTGGAATTATTTGATCTAACATAGATAGGAGGAAAAAAGAGTGAGAGGCAATGTTCACTGTAAGATGTAATTCAGCCATTTTAAATTCTAGGATACACATTAAGAACTGACCGAGAATGGTGAGTGTGGCCTCGCAAGAACTTTGGCCGACATCATTTGAAACCTCAAAAGTATATTCACCACCATCACTTTTGTCAGTTTTAATAATCTTGAGCACAGAGCTGGTATCTGTGCCATGCACTTTATATCTCTGGCCTGAGGTCAGCTCCTTGCCAGCCTTCAGCCATTTGGCCTTCAGAGGCTTTGTGCCTGAAAACCTGGCCTCCAGTGTGGCAGGATCTCCCTGAGTTACACTGATAGACTTGGCCTCCTCTGTGACTTTAGCTGGCTCTGAGATGTCAAACAAAACAGTCAGTGAAAAATCTCAAACCTAATGTACTAAACAGTACAGACAACAGAAAGTCAAGATTAGATGCACTGGATCCTTATCAACTTGTAAGGTCATGGGTCCATGGTGAATCCATCCCCAATGAAAATTTCCCTGCAGGATATAATGTAACAAAAAACAATGTTTGTTTTTTTTCAATGACACAGGTGTAAGTCAAAAACGGATTTGTCTCAGTTTACCACTGGGATTTAACAGTGTTGGCCATTTGAGAGAAAAATCTTGCTCGTAAACTAAAAAATGTGTGACTTGTCAAGTTGATAAGGATTTCCTGAACGCACCATTGGAAGGATGAAAATTCAGTTTCAAATAGCAGTTCTTCAGTATCTTAACCAACCTTTAACTGTTAACACAGCAGAGCACGTCTGGCTCCCAGCCTGATTCTGTGCCTGGCAAGAATATTTGCCACCATGTTTGCTCTGTAAGTTGGTGATGTGCAGCAGGGCAGTCTTGTTCTCATATGTTATCTGAATGTGCTCAGCCTCTTTGAGCTCATGGTTGTCTTTCATCCAGGACACAGTCATAGGCTCTGAGCCCTTCAGAATGCACTGCAAAGAAACCTCACTGCCCACCAAGGAACTTAGGTTCTCCAGCTTTCGCACAAATGATGGTGGTTCTACAAGGAAACATTTTATGAATGTTATTGGCATCTTTACAAAATATTAGCCTCGCAAAGTCAGACATCTTCCCGCACTCTCAGTCTTTTCAACAAGCGAGATCAGCTGAGCCTGACACATTTTGGACTAATCAGAGAGCTTGAGTGAGGGCTCAGATGGTAAACAGTCTATAAACTCCTGATCCAAATCCAGCAAATTCACTTATGCATAGTGTACTTTGTATAAAATTTAACTTGGCTCAGCTGAGGTATTTCTATAAGTTATTGAGGAACTGATTTTGATGGTGTTTCAGAGAAATATACCAATGTTTCTGGAGCCCTTTTCTCTGTTTATTGTTTATTTTTTATTTTTTTTAGAAATACGTATTCCTTCTCTGAATAAAGGGTTTATGAGGAAAAAGTGTAATTTTTGCCAATAAAAAAAACTTAATTGACTTAATGTTGCTATATCTGCAAACCTTTTTAGAAATAAATCATTAAACAAATGTCTGCTAAGCATTGCCAGATCAGAGTGAGCAAGAGGGAACTGTGTGCTAGCTTTGTGAGGCTATCCAAATATAGGTATGGAGCAGATTTAAAATACTTTAAAAGGTTTTTGAAATGGCAGCAGAAAAATAAGATATGTCCAGCATCTAACCTTTTAGTGTTACTTGACAATCACAGGAGGCACTTCCCACTTCATTCTCAACAGTACACTGGTACAAGCCAACATCTCCTGCCTCTAATGCCAGCACCTGCAGGGCTATCAGATCGTCTTTCACAGTGATCCTGTGTCTTTTGTCATTCCTAATCAGCTTTGTGTTTTTATAAAAAGACACAGTGAAAGGGGCAGAACCAGAGACTTGGCCCTCTAGCATCATCTCAGAACCCTTTACCACATCTTTGGGCTCCAAGCTACGCACAAACAATGGTGGCTCTAGAAGAAAACAACAGACGTGTCAGCACTGGACTACACAAGTGTGATGATGCAAAGACAAATTAAAAGATTTCATTGGAGTTTTATTGTGAAGTTGAAGGGGCTTTTTCTGAATCCCTTCATCAGCTCTAATGACAAGCAAGACATCCTCAGTGTTTACCCTACGGAGAAACCACAGCCCATTACAGCAATAGTCTCTGCAGGTGTTCTCAAATATGCCCTCATCCACGATGGCATCGATGTTGATAATTGTCATTTGAACTGAAGAAAAGCCAAATTCCTTCAATGTCACAATAAGTCTTCCTTCATTCTGGTAATGTTTCATACTAAACCAACCTTTGACTGTAACTGTACTGCTACAGCGGTCACTACCAGCCTCGCTGGATGCCACACAGACATAATCTCCACTATCCTGTACTGAACAGTTGACTATTTCCAGAGATGCTACTAAGTCAGTCAAGGCCATTGTGTATTTAGGACCAGAGCTGATCTCCATCTCATCCTTGAACCACTTAAAACTGATGACGGGACTACCCATCACTTTGCACTCCAGCCTTCCGGAGTCGCCAGTGGTAACAAGCTTGGTCGCCTCAAGCTTCCTCACAAACACGGGAGGTTCTGAAGAAGAGGTTAACATTCATTATCAGACAGAAGACATTATGTTAGTATCAAAAGAGATACTGTCACTCAAGAATGTCAAGACATTTTTATGCAACTGCACATGATACTGAAGACAGGCACCTTTAACAAAGAGGACTGTGGTGCAATCCACCTTCCCAGCATCATTGGACACTTGGCATGTGTATTTAGCAGAGTCACTGGGTTTCACAGAGTGAATCTCCAAAGAAGTTGAAGAGGCATCTTTCTTTATGAAATATGTGCCTCCAGTTATAATCTCTTTGTCTTCTTTGAACCACTTAACAGCTAAAGGAGCTGTTCCAGTGAAGGCTGCTTTGAAGGAAACAGTGGTTCCTGGTATAACATCCTGGTTGTCTGGTTTCACTGTGAACACTGGGGGCTCTGGAGGCCACAAACAAAACAAATTATGAATTTCATGTTAGCATGAAATCATTCAAGGATTATACACAACAAACATAAGCACAACATAAGCCAAGCGTTCATAACCTTTGACATAGAGTGTGCCGCTGGTTTCTTTAAAGCCTGCTGAATTGGTGGCTTTGCATTTGTATACTCCAGAGTCGGCCTTCTCCAGCCGAATAATTTGCAATGTAGCCGAGCTGTCTTTGAATTCAGGCTGGAATTTGGATCCAGACGCAATCTCCTGGTCATCTTTGAACCAAGTTATGGTCATGGGTTGGGACCCAGACACCTTACAATCCATGGAGACATCATTACCAATGCTACCATCAACTCTTTTCAGGGACTTGGTGAAAGTTGGAGGCATTATCCGATCTGGTTGTTGAAGAAAAAACATCTAATGTATTATCACAGTTTCAACTGTTTCTGGAAAGAATCACTCAGCTAAAATCCAAAAGCAAATGGCACTCCAAACTAAGCTAAGTGTAAGTCCCAAAATACAGTCAATGTTAATTTCCTGGTATTTAGAAAAATAAACAACTAGAGTAAGACGTTGTTAGTAACTAAGACTCAGATTCAGATTTTTAGCATTTAAAAAACAGCAAAATCATTATCAAATGTTAAAAAAGCAGAAACCAGGAGCTAACCTAAGACAGTGACTGAGCATGTGCACTGGTCTTTCCCAACTTTATTCGACACCTCCATCTTGTACTCTGAAGTGTCTCCTCTTTCTGCTGTAAGAATCTTCATGGTGGCAATATTGTCCTTCAGAGTCATCTTATATTTACGACCACTGATCATCTCCTTCCCATCTTTAAACCATTTCACTTTGAGCTCTGGGCTTCCAGAAATTTTGCACTCCAATGTGGCTGAATCCCCTGCAGTCACACTAATGGACTCTGCTGGTTCTACGATTCTGGCAGGTTCTGGGATAAGACAGACTCATTAGTTATTAAGAGTTGAGACACAAGAAACTTTAGAACTTGACATAGAAGCTAGAATAGGTATATCTGCATCAAAGATGTCATCTGACCTTGCACAGTCAAGGTAGCTTCACATTTTTGTTGGCCAGCCTCATTCTCAGCTTGGCATGAATACTTGCCACCATGGTTGATGGCCACTGTTGTTATCGACAAGCAAGCAACATTGTTCTCAAACACCATCTTGATATTTGGATCATCATCTCTCAGTATTTCAGAGTCTTTCATCCATTTAACAGTGATTGGAGCCGAGCCCTTAAGGGTTCCCTGTAGTTTCACTGTATTTCCCAACACTGCTGTAGCACTCTCAACCCTCTTTGAGAAAGTTGGTGGCTCTACAAAAACACATTGTGAGTCAAAAACTGACCTTGAAGCACAAGATTAAACCTCAGTCAATGAGACAGTTTTATTCAACTCAGATTTACTAACCTTTAAGTTTAGCTAGAGCCTTAGAGGCGACTTTCCCCACATCATTAGATATGACGCACTGATAATCTCCAACATCTGCACTTTCAAAGGTCTGGATCTCCAGCCTTGACAAGGAATCTTGGGAGATTATTTTATATTTCTGATCGCTGGTGATAGCTTTCTTATTTTTTAACCAGCTGATTTCAAAAGGAGCTGTTCCTGTGATTTCACACTCCAGCTGAGCTGCTGCTCCCTTCACCGCCTCTAGTGTCTGCAGTTCTTTTCTAATAGATGGTGGCTCTGGGTGTTAAAAGGGTAAGTGAAGTACAAGTGAAGCAGTTAATACCAAAGGTTGTCATACTTGAACAGTAAGTGTAAAGTAAATGCAAGATTTGACAAACCTTTAACAGCTATAAGGGTGTTGCAGCTCTCACTGCCCGCATTATTTGACACCTCACAGGTATAACTCCCACTGTCTGTGACCAAAAGGTTCATTATCTCCAAAGTAGCAACTCCAGTCTTGAAAGAGGTTTTATATTTTTCTCCATCGCTAAGCTCTCTCTCATTCCAGAACCAGTGGATGTGAAGTTCGGGCGATCCTTTTATGGTGCACTGTAAGCGTGCAGCTATACCTTGTTTCCATGTAATCTTAGGTTCCATTTTCTTGACAAAGACAGGGGGCTCTGAAATAGGTTTTTAGTTCAAAAACACCAAGATTTTTAAACATTATCAAAAAGAGAGACAGAAAAAAAAAACAGAAAAGTGTGAAAAAGAAATGCAAAATAAGATAGCAGTGCATAGTGTTAGCATCAGCTTGTAGTTGCCAGCAATAATCCACCAGCTCATTTCAAGAGATATGTTTTCATCAAAGCTAACGGAAAGATCATCTTTAAGATCTTACCTTGAACTGTTACCACAGCCTCACAGGATGAGCTCCCAGCCTCATTTGTGGCTGTGCAAACATATTTCCCAGAGTCCTTCTGTTTGGACTTAGGTATCTCAACAACAGCCACCTTGTCCTCAAAGGACAATTTACAATCCATGCTTTGGTGGACTTTTTTGCCATCCCTGGTCCAGGTGACGCTCACACCAGTGTCCTCGTCCACCTGGCACTCCAGCCTCAATGGGTCATTGACAGCGGCTGACACCGGCTCAATGGTCTTAACAAAGCTGGGTTTGTTGATGACCTTGAGCTCTGTTGTAAAGGTAGCAGTGCCGACACTGTTGGAGGCCTTGCACAAGTACACTCCCTTGTCAGTCAGCTCAAGACTTTTAATATGAAGGGAATACTTGTTCTTTTCACATTTCATGACATAGTTCCCTTCGGAGGAGATAGCTATGTTGTCCTTGTGCCAGACAACATCCATGGGTGAGGATCCAGTGAGTGAGCACTGGAACACAGCTTGTTTGCCCACATATAAAGTCATTGGGTCTGGTTTTGATACAAATACTGGTGGGTACATTTCTATGGAGAGCAGGTAGAACATAAAAAAAAGTTGAACAAATTTTAAGAAGTGGAATGTGCAGTTTCAATTTGATGATTGATGTAGGTTTAAGCATGAGAATATTTGATCCTCAACATCATATCTTGCCAAATGTGACACCAGATCCGGTTTATAAACAAATCATCACTTTGTTATTGCATCAAAATGATTCAGGGTAAAAAACAGTGCAAAAATGTATATAATTCTCTCTCTCTCAAACACACACACACATATGTAAAGCAACAATATAAAAAGGGTCCCACTGGGATCTTACCGGTGACAATGAGTGAGGCAGTGCAGCTGTCAGTGCCATGCTGGTTTGAAGCTTTGCAGGTGTATTCACTGCTGTCAGCTTTGATTGGGTTCAAAAGTTCCAGGGATGAACCGTTGTGGCGACTGAGGATCCTATACTTCTCGCTCTGTTTGATCTCAATGCCAGACTTGTACCATTTGAAGGTCACACCCGGAGCATCCTCAATTTCACATTCGAACTTGGCTTGGCTGCCGACGTTTATCTCCAGAGGTGTGATTTTCTCCCTAAACACAGGTGGCACTGTGGCACACGCAGACAAAAGATAAATGTTAGTAATGCAATCTATGAAACTCTTGCAAAAACTTATAGATCGGGAACAAGGATGGTGGAATATACAACAATGGTGGAAGACAATTCAGGAGTGACTGTAAAGGAGAAAAATAGCAAGAACATTAGCCCCATGGTTTCACAAAATGCTGCCTGAAAGAAGCTGTCATTGAACATGATTCTCATGGGGCTAGGGTTCAGGCTAAAAGAAGGAGAAACAGAGAGTTTGTGGCAGATGAAGCAATGTCAAGTTGAAGCCCTGAAAGCATGCAGAGAGACATTGGGCATGTAAAGAGAATGAACCAAAAGAAATGTGACAAACCATGGATTTAAAACAAAGGAACCTCTTGCCGCTGACATGCCAAAGTGACCATGAAAAGACCATGAAAGATGCCTGAAGGCCAGGAACATGACAACCATTACAGCAAGATGCTTATTGACTATAGAGCCTTAAGCTAAACTTGCATGGCTGTGACGGTTCTGGTATTGAGGCAATTATTGACCATACAATGATGGGGAACAAACAAGACATGGTGAGTTAGTACTATCCAGTGATCTGCTAAGTGTGCTCATGCTGAGCTATGAAATGAATATAGAGACCAAAGTGACAAATGCATCATTTCATGTGAGGACAAAGGTCTTGAATGAACCAGTTTATGTGAATGATTAGTCATTCTGAGAGAAAATGGGTGAATGAATGAATGATACATTGATTTTTCCTATTATCAAACCTCTTGAGACCACAGTGAGTCTTGAAGATGTTGTAGTCCTGCCGGCTTCATTCTCAGCCTCACAAACATATTCTCCTTGATGCCTCTCCTTGACAACTTTGTTGATAACCAATGTGTATGTGTCGTGGTCTTTGGAACACTTGAACTCTTTGCCAGATTTAACCAATTGCCCATTGAAAAACCAGTTTAACTTTGTGACGTACTTAATGGTGGTGCTAAAGGTTACTTTACTATCTTCTTCTATGGATAAATCTTCAAGGGAGGTGACTATTACTGGGTATTCTCTCTGTTCTGGCCTGGATACTGTGATCTCCTCTTTGAAGATCTCTTCCCTGTGCTCCTTCTGGATGCTCACATCCACCATTTGTTCAGTGGGGACAGTGGTGGGAGGAAGGGCAGTGGTAACAATAGCTGCTCCTACATCTTTCTCTCTACTTTTCACCGTTACTGACCTCACCTCCTGCCTTGACACCTGCACCGACTGCTCAAAAGCCATGTGAGCCTCAGTGGAAATTTTGACCTTAGATGAGATGGACTGTTCCATCCTTGCTGCCTTGGATTCCTGCACCACAACCTGTTGCTCAGCTGCAGCACATTCAACTGCCATTTTAGACTCGGTCTTGAGCGCAGCAGCCTGAGATGTAACAGCAGTAAAATCTACTGCACTCTCTGCCACACTCACTGTCTCTACCATGGATGACAGCATTTGCTTAGACCGGGCTGAGGTGACCTGCGCCCTTTGAGGTTTGTCTAGTTGCATAGTGCCTGGTTTTTCTGAACTGAGAACATGGGCTTCCTGGTACACTATGGAGTGAAAAGCTGCCTGGAGTTCAGTTCTGAAATCAGCTGTCTGAGGATATTTGCCCTCAAAAGCTAGTGTGATCTCCATTGGGGCACCTGTTGTTGTGATCAGATATGTAAACATGGCCCGCTTGGGCTCTCTTTGAACTTTGACTTCTTGTACTTCTACAGTCTGTAACTTTCCAACGACATCTGCCAGTAACACTGGCTGGTCGCTGGCCACAGCAGATTGAAGAGCATCTCTCAGCTGACGGCGTATATTCAGACTGGATGGTTTAGGGATCTGAATCACAAATGTCATCTCTTTGGGAAGAGCTGTGCTGACTTTCGATTCTGAGGCCATAAGAGACAGTTTTGGCTGTGTGGTGACAGCGACTTTAGTGGACTCAGATTTGGTGATCTCCTGAGAGAGCTCACCCATCAGCACTCGCTTCTCATCCATCACTATTGACTGCCTGACTGACTGACCTTCTTGTATCTGAACAGCAAAGTCCTGTTCTGCTGCCTCTAGAAGGACACTACTCTCAGTGGAGATCTCTTTCTCCTCAATCTGGATTGGCTCAGTGGGAACTTTTGGCTCCACAGCCATCTGGCAGGTGAATTTATCCACTGCTGTAAGACTCTCAGTGTGACCCTCCTCTAAGGCCTGACTGTCCGCCACAATGGTGACATGCATCACATTCAAACGATCCTCCTTCTGCACCAAAGCTCGCTGCTGCTTAACGTCAATAGTAACTGGCATCTCCTTTGGCAGCTGCATGGGCTGATAAGATAGCTGGAGGATGTTTTGAGGCCTGGGCTCAGTACGAAGCTGAGACTGAACGCCTGTCACAGACAAATCCAGCTCAGTGTGATAATCTGCTGTGAGCTCCCTTCTCTCTTCCAAGATGGCTGCATGACTCCTTGTCTTTTCTTGTTTCTGTGCTGCCACCTGCTGGTCAGGCTTCTCAATTATGAGAATACCCTCTTTGGGAAGTGCCTCCACAGGTTGGGTTGACTGCAGATGCAACAGAGTGGGGGCCTCTTTCTGGGGCTGGATGGTCATGGTGCTAGCCTTGGCCTCAAACTCTGATGTGTCCTCACAAATGACTGTCTTCTGCTCGTCCTGGCTAACAGTGTGCAGCAGAGTAGGACTCTTCCTGGTTTCTGCCTTCACTGGTGCTGGTTTTTCACAGGTGAAGCTCTTCTCAGATGGAAGGACATCCTGGTCTGTGATAACCTGCAGATGCAACAATTGCTCTCCTTCTATCTGTGACTGAATGGACATGGCACTGTCCAGACTTGGTAGCTGCTGAGTGGGCTCAGCCTGAAGCATTCGCTTCTCTTCAGCAGTTAGAGCTGCCTTAAAAAATGTATCCTTACAGAGATGGGCTGTCTCCTCTGCAGGCCTCTGCATGGAGAACTTGGTCTCCTTGGAAAGAGTCTGTTTTGACTCACTGACCGAAGCCAATACAGGCCGGTGCTGTTCTTTCCCAACAGAAGACTTCACAGCAGAATCTGCTGTTGCTAGCTCAGTTGTGTGGCCCTCTGCAAGCACCCTTTTCTCTGCAGACTGGGCTGAGTATAAAATCTTAACACCTTCCTTAACCTTGTAACTCATTTCCGCCTGTGGTTTGGGGATATCCTGAGACTCTTCTTTTAGGATGGACAGTTGTGACTCGACTTGATGCCCACTAACTAGATGTTTAGGTTCTGAAGTGGGCTTGACAGTAGCAGACTTCCTGTCAGCCAGAGGCTCTGTGCTAACAGTAGAAAGTGGGGTGAGCTCCTCAGCAATAGCTGACATCACCTTTGACCTCTTTTCTCTAGACGCCTGAAGCTCAATGACCTCAGGGCTTTGAATGCGATCACAGTGCTGCTCTGTGAGGTCCTGACTCTCTTCGACAGAGGATGTAAAAGCTGCCATGTGAAGCTGTTTTGCAGGAACAGCTGAGACCTGAGTTGGGTGAGTAGGAACTACAGACACCCTCTCCTCTATCTCATGAGACTGAAGCACTGCTGCCTGGTGGGTCAGCTGTTCACGATGAATAGTGGCAGCAGAGATATCTAATTCTCTAAGGGGACCCACTTGCTCACTGGGAATTATCTGCCTGTCTTCAGTGCCGATAGTGTATACCATCTGATCTGACCTTGCTCTGTCCTGGCCCGGGAGGCTGACTTGGTACAGGCGGGACTCTGTTGCCTGTTCTGTCATTGAAACCTTATAACCTTTCTTCTGAACCACAGTCTGCTGTTCCTGTTTGCGAGAAACAGAGGCGGATTCTCTGAACACAACAAGCTCAGCACTACAAGTCGCCTCCCCAAACTGGTTGGAGGCCTTACATGTGTACAGGCCACTGTCTTCCTGTTTGATGCTCTTAATATTGATGAAGCCAGATCCATCTGGGTTGGCTATAATGATACAGTTTCTACTGGGCTGGATCTGGAAAGCCCCCTTGAACCACTTCACATCAGGGATTGGATCACCACTGGCTTTGTAATTAAAAGAAACTTCTCCCCCTTCTGAACACCTTACAGGTTGGATCTGAACTGTGAAAGTAGGAGGTTGACCTGTGACCTTGAACATCTTCTCGACCCATTTCTCTGCCTGGCTAACATCAGTCTTTTTCACTTCAAGGTATGTGGTGCATGTTGTCTGGCCAAATCTGTTGGTGGCAGTGCAAGAGTACTCGCCCTCATACTCAGATGTGACCTGGGTGATTACTAATGTGAACTCCTCTTTCTCCTCTATCAGCTTGTATATAGTGGAGCTCTTTATCACTTTTCCATTGTGAGACCATTGAACAGTCGGCTTTGGAAAGCCAGACACTTTGACAGTAAACCTTGCTGTTTCCCCAGTGGTTACAGCTGCTGGGGAAAGCTGGCTGAGGAAAACTGGCTTTTCTTTTTTCTTCTCTAAAGTAGAAGAGTAATGTTTGGACTCTGGCTTGAGTTCAAGTGTTTTTGTTTTCTGTGGTAACTGGACACCAGTGTAGTAGGTCTCCTCTTGCTCTTCCACAGTGGTGATGGTGGTGCTAGAACGTTCTGTTAGGAAATATTGAGTATTAAGAATATAATATTAAGACTTAAAATAACATCCACAACACAAACACCTATGATATTAACAATTAATTCATAAAAGCAAAAATTCTTAGTCAACTAATAGTGATGGAATTTGTTTGCAATCAATTGATAAGTTGACATATATAAAGCATTTTGATTAATATCATTGTCCCTCTGCAGGTGACTGCTCCAAAATCTCTTGAATCTGGTGCTCATTAAAGACTACAATATTTGTGAATATTGATTTAGATGTTCTATTTGACAGTTATTACTAGCTCATTATTAGGTAATTCATAATCCATACTATAAAAAAAGAAAGTAATTAACATGAAATCTCTCAGTTTACAAGACCCTAATTACATATTAGTTGACTAAATGATTAAGTGAGGACAACCCTAC